TATATTAATGAATTTGTATAATCATTGTCTAGTTTTGGAGCTTTGTGCGTTGGTTTAAGTCTTCGGAGGAATGTAGAATGCCGGTTATGAGTCTTCGGAGCGAGGTGAGTCTCCTTTCTAACCTTGTAAGAGGGAATTGTCTCCCTAGGTGAAATAATTGATTATGTGCTCCTATATGTGGGGGCTACGTACGCACGAGGTGACGAGAGTCCGTGCGTAGCTACTATTATGCTATTGTCCGGGTAGATAGGACCCAAAAGCATGTTATACTTGGATTAATATTGAACCCACGGATACCTGAATTGCTTAAATCACATTGAATTAGTAAGTAAATTTCTAAAAGGACTAAACTTCATTTCTTAAAGGTTGTTAAAGGAGAATTTGTATTATTTGGATAATTATTCCCCGATAAATTCTTAATTGGCTACTTGAGCATGTATTTTATGTGTACCTGCGTCACATGCATGATTCGCGAGCAGGGTATGTGTTTATTTATGGAACGGGCCGAACGCCTCAGCAGATTTAAATAGATGCATCTATGGTTCGGGTCGTTCGACCCTCGGCAGTGCACAGTTTACATACCTGTTGGATCGGGCCGTCGCCTCGGTGTGATTTGCGCATGTTATTTGTCGCTTGAGGACTTTTAAACGTGAAATTTACCCTTCGTGGCTTGATATGAACTGATAAGATAATAAAGAATAAACCTTGAAAGCCCTTGATTATTTGTTAAAGGTGTTTTACCTGTTTTCTGGCTTCGCGAATTAAAACTACTATATAAATCCATGATTTTCCTCACGTTTCTAGAATATTGTTAATTGACCTCTAGTGAGTGTCGAAGTTGGCCATCTCGTCTCTACTTCTTCGAGATTAGTCGGGATACTCATTGAGTACACGTTGATTACGTACTCATACTACACTTCTGTGCATTTTTGTTGCACAGGTATATATACCTCTAGCAGCCTACTGGGCATAGCAGCGCGGATGATTTTTGGAGTGAGCTGCATTGTTCGAGGTGGCCCGCAGCTAGTGTAGCTCCTTTCAGCTTCCTGTCCACTGTATTTTGGACGGATATTGTATTTTATTTCCTTATTAGTAGATGCTCATGCACTTGTGACACCGGGTTCTGGGATAGTTTTTCAGAGATGTGTACTAATAGTTATTACTTAATTCGAATTGAAGTAGAAATTGTTTTTAATTATGAAAAATGGAAGGAAGAATCCTAGATTTTCAAAGGTATTAAAAGAGAATTTAATTGATAACTTAGTTGGCTTGCCTGACAGTAGCGTCCGGCGCCATCACGCCCCGTAGTGGATTTTGGGTCGTGATAAATTGTTCTCCGACATGAACATCATAAAATGTGGGGGGTTGGGAAAATGAAGTTTCATCAACATGAGTCATTTCATCAATATCCTTTCTAACTCTAGGTCTAGGAGAAGGGTTAGGATTAGGATTACTACTACTTTCACCTTTACTATTTTTTTACTACTTTTTTTAAAACTACCAAATACATTTTTAGGTGCCATAATTTAAATATGAAATTAAATTAAAAAAGCCAACACAAATATTAAACACACAAATATTGCTCCAAATACTTGACGAATTAATTTGAAGCTTGAAAGTTGCTCCAAAAAATTTGCCCAAATACTTGAAAGTTGAAACTTGAAAGATAGCACTTGATACTTGATAGTAGCAAAATTGAGAGAATAATATAGAATATAGATAGGATATTAGAATGTAAGAGATTTGAGAGAGAAGATTGATTTTTTGTGGGAAAAAATGAAGAAGAATGGGGGGTATTTATAGTAGAAAATAAGGCCAAAGTATAATTTAATAAACTTAGGAGTTATATTAATAGTTTGGGGGGTGTAGGGTGTGTTTTGGGGGGTGTAGGGGCTGTTTGGACCGTTGGCAACGGCTATTTTTGCCATTTAAGCCGTTGGCCAACGACTAGTTTTTAAGAAAAAAAAAATTAATTTCTGGCGGGACGCGGGACGGGACGGGACGGGACGAAACGGGACAAAACGGGACAGGACAAATGGGACGAAATGGCCGTCCCGTCCCATCCCGTGTCCCGTTTAACATTGGCCCATCCCATTTAACTTGAAGCGGGATAGGACAAGACGGGATGGGACGGGACCGGGACGGGACGCAGGACGGGATGGGACGGCCCATCCCGTTGGACAACCATAGCCCTGAGTGCTAACAGATCGGGAGGAAATCATTTCAGGACAAACTTTGGTCAACAAACAAGTTTTGAAGACAATACTGGATATGTGAACTACAATCAGCAAGGAAATAGAACTGGAAACATCAACTACAGAGGAGGACACTTTGGGAATAGGCCACGACCTTTCTGTGACTATTGTAAGAGACAAGGTCACACTAAAGAAAGGTGCTACAAGCTACATGGCTATCCCCAGGATCCAAGGCTCAATAGAGGAAAGAGAATTGCTGCCAATGTACATGGAAGACAGGAAGAGAGTGCTGTTAAAGGAGCAGATGGAAGCAATGGAATTGCACATGAACAAGATAGGACTATGCAAAGTCTCACTAAGGAACAATACAATCAGCTAGTGAGCATCCTGGAGAATTTTCATGCTGGAAGTGGAGGAAATGAACTGAAAGCAGGAGCTGTGAACTTTGTAGGTATTTCAGCTTATTCAACTCATTTTGATTCTGGTTCTAGCTCATATGAATGTTTTAGGTCTATTGCTGACTCTTGGATTCTTGATTCTGGGGCATCAAACCATATGACCTATAATAAATCCATGCTAACTAACATAAAGACCTTAGTCTACCCCTTTCTAGTTACTTTACCCAATGGTTATAAGGTGAAGGTGACACTAATGGGAGATGTGGTAATGAGTCCTACGTTCACTTTGAAAAGAGTCCTCTTTGTCCCTAGTTTCAAGTTCAACTAATCTCAGTTCACTGTCTGACAGTTCAATTTGATTGCTTTGTCATATTCACCAAATTTGTTTGCATCCTTCTACAGGCCCCTTCATCGAAGAGGCCTCTAGCAATTGGTGAAAGTTAGGATGGTCTGTATCTTTACAAAACAGATTCTTGCAAGTCCAACCATCCAGATTCCTGCAAACTTAATTCTTTAGTGTTTGATAATTCATCTAGTGCATCAAATAAAGGTGATGTAGTCACTCAGCCTACTTCATCTAGTATAACCAGTGTCAATAGCATTAGTTCTCACCCTGCTTCACATACTGTATCTAGATTGCATAATTCTGTTTCTCCTGCTGTGACTAAATCATACACTTGTTCACATAAATGTAATAAACTTGACACCAACTCTTATGTGCAATCTGAAGGAAATACTAATTCTGCATGTAATGCATCTGTGAATGATAAACACATGATTGATCTTCTGTGGCATAATAGATTGAGACATGTACCCTTTGTCAAAATCAGAGGGATTGAATCTATACCTTTCCATTTCTCATCCAAACAACCCTTTATCTGTCCAATATGTCCAACGGCTAGACAAAATAGGTTGCCCTTCTCAGAAATAACTATAACAACAACCAAAATATTTGAAATCTTACACATTGACCTATGGGGGCCTTATCATGTGCCAACACATGACAAGAATAAATATTTCATTACCTTAGTAGATGACTACAACAGATGTACTTGGACTCATCTACTTAGTTGCAAGAGCAATGCCTTACAAGTAATCAAGGCCTTCTCTGCCATGGTGAAAAACCAATTTGATTGCTTCATTAAGACCATCAGAACAGATAATGGTCTTGAATTTATAAACTCTGAAACTACTTCCTTCCTGCAATCTGAGGGAATCATACACCAGAGAACATGCCCCTACACTCCTCAACAAAATGGCATAGTTGAGAGAAAACACAAATATCTTTTGGAGACAGCCAAAGCCCTGTTATATCAGTCCAAACTTCCCATGCAATACTGGGGAGAATGTATACTCACCTCAACCTATTTGATTAACAGACTTCCCTCTACTAATCTAAAAAACAAATGCCCACTGGAACTACTATACAAAAAAAACCCAAATATTCACATCTTAAAAGTTTTGGATGCCTTTGCTTTCCCACGGCCCTAAAGACTCACAAAGACAAATTTGAATCCATATCCTCACCTCATGTCTTTGTGGGGTATCCCTTTGGGACAAAGGGTTACAAGGTGCTCAATCTGGTCACAAAAAGAATTCATGTTTCAAGGGATGCTGTATTTCATGAGAATGTATTTCCTTTTGCTTTGCATTCTAGTTCCAATAGAGTTTTTCCCTCATTTCCTCAAGTAAATGCAGATTTAGCACATGAGTTATTCCTTTCTCATAGGTCATCTCCTGCCCCTTCTTCTCCTAGTGTATGTCTCCCAACAATGTCACTTGATCCTTCATTACCAGGGGTAAGGGAACTTAATCCTCAAACAACTTCAAGTTCAGAAGAATCTCCTCTCCTTCCTGATAACTATAACAATCTGCCCAATGATATTCCTAACTCACCAACACAAGAACCTAATGAGACTTTAGGAAGACCATCCAGAACCCTTAAAATCCCTACCTACTTGAAAGATTACAATTATTCACTACCCAAGTTACAAACAAGTGATCCTAACTCCCCGTCCAGTAGCAACCAAAGCACCACATCACTTTCTTTCAATCCATCTATACCCAATGCCCAATGAGTCTCACTCAATGCACTGAGTTCTAAAAGTCAGCAATTGATCAGAACCATTTCTTATGAGACTGAACCCAGTTCATATGAGGAGGCGGCTGCTGATCCTGCCTGGCAAGCAGCCATGAATCAGGAATCTTGGAAGCCCTTTATGCCAATCACACTTGGAATCTTGTACCTCTTCCAACTGGAAAAAGAGCAATAGGATGTAAATGGGTCTATAAAGTAAAACACAAGGCAGATGGGAGTACAGAGAGACTAAAAGCAAGATTAGTGGTGAAGGGATATACTTAAGAGGCTGGGGTAGACTATACAGAAACTTTTTCATGAGTAGTTAAGATGACAACTGTTAGGACTCTAATTGTAATAGCAGTAAAGAAGGGCTGGAACATCTTCCAACTAGATGTGAATAATGCCTTCCTTCATGGAGACCTCCATGAAGAGGTTTACATGGAAGTACCTCAAGGTCTAGCTGTTGAGAGGTCATATTTAGTGTGCAAATTGAACAAGTCCTTGTATGGTATGAAACAAGCAAGTAGGCAATGGTATGAAAAGTTAACTGAAGCTCTTTGCTCCAAGGGATACACACATTCTCTACTAGATTATTCTTTGTTTTACAAAAAGCATGGAAGTTCAATGGTGTTTGTAGCTGTCTATGTAGATGATGTTCTAGTAACAGGGACTGATTTGGAAGAAATAGGTGTTCTAAAGAGGTATTTACATGAGACTTTCAGAATAAAAGACCTAGGAAGACTACACTATTTTCTGGGTTTAGAAATTCTATACAAAGATGATGGGGTATTGATATCACAAAGGAAATTCACAACGGATCTACTGTCAGAATTTGATTGTATAAAATATTCTGCCTTGATTTCTCCACTGGATCCCTCAACTAAGTTGAGTGCAAATGAAGGGCCTCTATTACCTGATCCCTCACATTTCAGAAAACTAGTGGGGAAGTTGAACTACCTAACCAATACAAGACTTGACATATCATATAGTGTGCAACGTTTGAGTCAGTTTATGCAAAGTCCTAGGGAGCCACACTTGAAAGCTGTCTATCATGTACTGAGATACCTCAAAGGTGATCCAAATTTAGGGATCTTTCTGTCCAACAACAATGACTATAGAATTCGAGCCTTCTGTGACTCAGACTGGGCAGCCTGCCCTGACTCAAGAAAGTCAGTCAGTGGCTATGTTGTGCTACTAGGTGATGGTCTAATCAGTTGAAAATCAAAGAAGGAGCAGACCATATCATTATCCTCAGCAGAAGCAGAATATAGAGCTGCTAGACAGGTTGTGGGAGAATTAGTTTGGTTACTTAGATTGCTTGCAGAGTTGGCAGCTCCCTAGACACTACCTGTTCCAGTCTTCTGTGATAGTCAGGCAGCACTCCACATAGCCAAGAATCCTGTATTCCATGAACGCACCAAACACATAGAGGTGGAACTGTCATTTTTGTACGTGATCAAGTGCGCGAAGGGATCATTACACTGCACCATATTTCCACAAATGACCAGCTGGCAGATATATTCACTAAGCCCCTCACAGGAGTGAAACATTGCAATTTACATAGCAAGTTGGTTGTGAGTTCCTCCCTTCCAACTTGAGGCGGGGGGGGGGGGGGGGGGGGGGGTATTAAAGCTTGTGTGTATATTTATTAGTTGTATAAGTGAATTGTAGATGATATACATTATAAATAGGGGTAGATACACTGTAATGTATAATTTAATTCATTGTATTTTTTCTACAATTGTACAAAGGACTTTATTTTTCTTTCTGATGTAATAGAGAAGAAATTTTCTAGAAGCTTCCCCTCCTATGGCTCTCCTCAACCGCCATTAGAGCTCACTCAAGGTGAGCTTGTCTTCTTCATCTTCCTTACTATTTTGTCAATTAGTTTAATTTTGTGTGAGGAAACGGATAAGTAGGAAACAATGACACCACTTGACACATATTATCTACTGGTGTGTTGGTTATGTGCTTGGTCTTGCTCTATGAGGTCAGAGCTAGGTTTGAACATTAACTAGCATGTATTTTTTGAAAATATTTGAGAGTCTCGGTGGTTAAAAATTGTGATTAAGTAAATTGAACTCAGGACATTTTTTAACTTAAGACTCAACAAAACTAATGGACTAAGGCCATTTCCTATATAGAAGTATTATAATTGAAGTTGGCTCTTCGAGTCACGCAAAGGATAATTAAGTGAGAACGTTATTGATCCTTTCTGTGATGAGATATACAGATTAAAGAAGAAGAGGAAGAAGAAGTCCATATAAATTCTTGGTACTTTCTTTTTAGTGGAAAAATTCAGCCACGGGTTGGTTAAATTAGATCACGTATACTTGTACTAATTAAATTATCAGCATCTATACTGCCCACTTCATTTTTATACTTATACTAATTAAATTATCATCATCTATACTGCGCACTTCATTTTAAAGGGATATTCCCAGATGCTGTCCAATTATGCTCGTGTGTTACCTGAGAAAATTCTTGAAATAACGAATAGCACCATATATTGAGAAACAAATACTCCCTTTCGCGCCTTCTAATAAATAAGTTATAACAGTAGTATATCTTACAAATATCTCTGTACGTAATTAAGCTACTAACAAGCACTTACGTTGCAGCAAATAAGTTTAACAATATATAGTAAAATAATGCGTCAAGAGCTTCAGTAGTAGATATATTATTGGTAAAATGAGAGTCCATATGGTTTTGCTACTTCATTAATAGCACAGTATTAAAAATATAATACAAAAGATTAGCATTAATTAATGATTAACAAATATGGCAGTAAAATATTTATACATATAGCAGATTTAATTCAATTCAAATCAGCAAGAATCAAGCTGCTTAAAAGGCAGTCCTGGTATTTTGATATCTTTTCCTATTTTTTCTCTCTATTCTATAACATGTTTTATGTTTTCGTTAGAAACCCATCCATTCCATGAATTTTTTTTCCTTTCCATCCATGGGCCTTTTTGTATAATGTAATGTAGCAAATTATACATTTTTATATTATGGTGAAATAAAATACATATATTTCATGAAAAAATGTAATGTATGTTTGTGGTATATATACACAATAAATCATGTATTTTTAGAAAAATTCATATATATATGTGCAATGTTGTTTATATACGTCTTTATATTTAAATATATATCATTGATCCATTCCATAACAAATTTTTTCCTTTCTATACATGGACCTTTTTATTCAGTTTAATCCTAGCAAAATTATATATCTATATATTCCAATGAAATAAAATACATATATTCCGTGAAAAAGATATAATGTATGTTTGTGGTATATTATAAATCTTGTGTTTTCTAGGAAAAATCATGTATATATACATATGTTATTTATACACTTATTTATATTTAAATAAATATTATTAATATGCCATTTATATATTGCACTAATATAACATGCATATTTGTATAAATTATCCGTATATAAACAATATATGTGACATATTAGTGGCATGTTAATATTTTAGATTAAATTTTATGTAAGGTATATGCTAGCAATATACTTTGAATAATATCAATATAATAATGTATATATGTGGTATAAATACATATAAAAATATATATGACATATTAATGGAATATTGACATTGTAAATTAAATAAATATAATATACTTGAGTTATATTTTAGGTATATTTTGAGTTAAAATAAGATTGTACAGAAAAAAGTTTTAAACTCAAAAAAAATAATACTAAAATTCTCATTGTGCTGAGGGAATTATTTTTGAGATATTCTTCTTTCATAATCTTTGATATATTTGGGTAAGTGCTATTATGGAAGAGAAAAGAGAAATTATGTAAGAGTGAGGGAAAAGGAAATATAGTAAAAAGTATATTAATATAGAGGGATTCCTTAGTTACTGGAGTTATCAACGTGAAAGTGCTAAAAAAGTAAAAAAATGTGCTATTTTTGAAATAAACAAAGTCTACTATCATTTATGTAAATAGTTCTTAAAAAGGAAGCAAGCTTGTAAAAATCCCATAATACTCCACGTCAAAAGTAGTGGTTAACCCGGCGGACAAACTCTAACTCCGCCCTTGATTTTAATTAAATAGCTGAATTTGAATGTATTTTCTTACAACCATGTGATGCAAAGTGTGTGAAAGTAAAAATTGCTGAGCAAGTTGGCTCGCTACTTCAAGCTTCATCATCATTGAAGAATTGCCGATTATAACAAAAACTAGTTAAATTGCTCGCGCTTTGCGCGGTCAGACATCAATACATTACAAAGTATTTTTTAAAAACAAATTTAGTTGAGATAAAAGAGATAGTGCAATAGAAAATTAAATCCAAATAAAAATCATCACACAGTAATTTAACAATGACATGGTTATCAAGGTATAATTCTCTCAATTGGGAAGAGAAGTTCATGCTCATCATTATGTAGAGAGGAAAAACAAAAGTAACCTAAGACTTTGAATCCTGTTAAAGGTTGTTTATAAATAATATCAGTTACTTTACATACTATTTATTAGTCATAATTGTATACAGTAGTCAAAGAGAACTTTTCTTGTCCGATGGAGCAACTTACTCGTTGTTGCAATGTAAAAGATATTATGTAGCAAATATTTTTGCTGTGAGGCCATGCATGAATTTCTTTGTTGTTGCGGTCACACGCACACGCAAGTATACACGGTCGTCAAGTATTAACTAAAAGTCAGACGTCGAACCCACGAAGACTTGTGATTAACTATTAACTAAATTAGACTATCCTAATTATCTAAACAAGGATTAAACCCAAAAGTAGTGATACTAAAGTAACTAAACTAAAAAGAAATAACTAATGAACTTTAAACAGAGGAAGATCGGATTTTTATATTATCAATGTGATGAAAACGATCTAGGGTTATGGGCTAACATTCCTATTGTATTCTTCAATTGAATTGACTAACTAATTTATCTAGTTTATTGGTTAACAGGGTTAACATTGCTTATAAGAATCTGTCGAGTTCTTACTCGCCTATTCAAGCTAACCTAACGTCTATATGTCTATGAAATTAGAATTATGAACGCATTTATAATTCCTGTAAATCAACCAAGCAAGGCAATTAGGTATATGCCTATCCTAACAGCGAACCCGTTCCCCGATGCCCAGATTCAAGAGCTTGCTCTACTCAATCCTATATGCAATCTAGAATTACCACCTTTGACTTCAATTCGAGATTCGTAGATAGTATTCAATTGGTGATCAAGCAATCAAATAATTAAGTGCAGGATTGAATAAATACACTAATACAATATTTTGTTAAATTAAAATCAATATTTGAATAATAATTGTCATGAAAGAACCACAACATTAGAACGTGAAGTTTAGCTCCATATAGACATGGTAGCAAAACAACCAATCATACAAAGAAACATAAAAATTACTAAGTTTGGTGGAAGAAAAGATGAAATCCGGCTTCCAAGGCGGCTCTGTGCTCTCCCTTGGTCAAAAGTTCCTCTCCAAAACGTCATTGTGACGACCCATAAGGTCATCACTTGTTTTAGAAATAAATTCTGTGATCCGAGGCCTTAAAACCTCCCTTTTGTCTCACCTCGACTTACGTGCGTGGTCCGGGCGCGTATCCGGAAAGCCATTATGTGAAAATCTGTAAAAAAATAATAAGTTTTACTTTTAAAATGAATTTAAGTTAACTTTGGTCAACATTCTTGGTAAACGGAACCGAACTCGTGATCTGACGGTCTCGTAGGGTCCGTAGTAAAATTTAGGATTCGGGCATATGCCCGAAATCGAATTCCGAGGTCCCAAGCCCGAGAAAAGAATTTTTAAAGAAAATTATTTTCTGGAATATATGAGAGTTTTTGGAAATGAAAGATGTTTGAAATTGATGGTATCGGGCCCATATTTTGGTTCCGGAGCCAGGTACCAGTTTGAAATAATGATTTGGTTGAATCTGAAAAATTTGGTAAAGATCGGAATCGGTTTGGTATAAGACGGACTTAAAAGTTAAGAAATTTGAAATTTTGATGTTCTTAAGTGATTTCATGGATTTGAGGCTTAATTCATAGTGGTTGATGTTATTTTGATAATTTGATCGCACGAGCAAGTCCGTATGATGTTTTTAGACTTGCATGCATGCTTGGTTTGGAGTCCCGAGGGCTCGGGTGAGTTTTGGATAGGCCACAGAATGAATTTAGGCTTGAACATAGCTGTTGCAGGTTCAGAGAAGTTGTAGATCTCTAAACCAG